TGTAATGTATCTTGTAGATACAAGGGTATATAGACCTGGCTCAAATTGACAAACATACGTGACATAGTATACATGGCCGTAATTTTCCAGAAATTTAGATTTTTTAGCCAATGTGTCCACTGTTTTTGGACAGTCGACTTTGGATACTTGATCCCAACAGTATGACTATCTATTGTTGTTGTTGGTGGTGGCGGTGGTGTTTGATTAGATGATACAACCATACATATGTCCGGTTGATTTTGTACTGCCGGTGCTGTCGACTGGCTAGTTGGATTGTTGATGGCCGGTTCCCTGATAAACATGTGGAACAGTATGCTAAATATGATACCGATGCCGCATACTATGTACGAAACTTTCTATATTTGTTGTTTATATTGAAATATTTATTTTTTTAAAAAAAACAAAAAATTTTATTAAAATTATAAATACAAACTTACGGTAATAAGTTTGAGATCTTTTTGGCCAAACGTGTCGGTACTGCCGAAACCGATAACACCGGTCATAATACTGTACACACATATATTGGCACCGATAGTTGCCGCCTGTCTATAGATTTTTTAAATATATATAATATATATATATATATATATAATTAAATAAATATATATATATATATATAATTAAATAAATATATATGTATTTTATATTATAAATTATAATTTATTATACAGTTATTATTAATGTTGTATTTTAGATATATATATATCAGGGTTAAGCAAGGTTTTGGATTTTAGGGGGGGGGTAGACCGGGGTAAAATTTACAAAATTCTCAAAAAATTGGGGGGGGGGGGGGGTATTGGGTGGGGTAAGATTTTTATTGCATTTTTAAACGGCAATTTTTTCAAAAATCCAAAATCAAGGGGGGGGGGGGGGGTCAAGAGAAAATTCCCTTAAAATTCCCTAAGTTCCCGAATATTCCCATGTAAATTCAATAAAATTCCCACAAGTTCCCGTATAAATTCCCGGGAAAATAGGTAAAATTTCCAAAAATATAAAAAAAACTTAAAAAAAACTTAAAAATTAACAAAAACTTAAATTTTAACAAAAAATAAATATTTTTTAAAAAAAAATTAAAAAAATAAAAACTTAAATTTTAACAAAAAAAAATAAAATAATGTATTTAAGATTTAAAAATAGTTGATAAAAGCATTAATGATACACTATGAGTTATTTTTAGTATTTTAATAATTTTTAACTTAACATACTTAATTTTTTAAGCAATACTTAATGTTTATAGTTTGTTATTATTATATATTAAAATATTTTTATTTTTATACAAATACTGACTGAATACTATTTATTTAACTCAAATTTCGTTAAAGTTTAATTATATTAAGTACAAAATTGAAAATATTTTTAAATTTTTTATTTAAAATTTAAAAATTATTAATAAAAACATAAAAACATATTTATTGTTTTATTAACTTCTTAAACTTATATTTAAATTGTAATATGATTACTCTTTTCAACAAATAGGTAATTTTTAATTTTTTAGTTTATTTTAATTAAAATAATGTTATTTTTTGATGACTTTTAACGTTATTTTAACTATTTTTAATCAATAATTAGTTTTTTATAAATATTAAAAGCATAAAAACACTTACTAAAATAGTATGAACTAAAATTAAAATTTTCGGCGCCTTCGGCGCCGAAATTTTAGGGGGGGTCATTTCTCGTCGTTTTTAAGCGACAATTTTTCCAATTTGGTCAAAAAGTCTGGGGGGTAAAATCCCAATTTCTCGATCTTAGGGGGTATTTTGGCCTTACCCCCCCCTACCCCCCCTTACTTAACCCTGATATATATATATTATTTATAATCATTAATTTCGACAATAATATTTATTTTTAATTAAAAGAAAAATTATTTTTGTTTAAATATTTCCAATACTGTATCTAACTGTAAATAAACTAAACTTTTTTTTTTAAAAAAAAATAAAAATATTTTTACACCGATTAACAAACTTATATAAAATAAATACTTAATCAAAAAAAAATAAACAGGGCAATTATAATATGCTACTTATATATTTCAAAAATTATTATTAATTATTTTTGACTATTATTTTATTATAGGTGTATAGATAAATAAATTTACAAATATTTATTATTACTATTATTACTAAATTAATTAATTAAATAAACTTACCTGTATGCATTTAAGGCTATCCTCTCATTAGTATCCTGGGTCAAATCGACAATTAAACTTACATGGCTAACCTATAAAGTAAAACATACATACACACACAAAATAATAATAATAATAATAATTATATATAATTTCTATAATTATAAAAATTATTATTACTATTGAAAATAACGAAATAATATTTTTTTTTAAAAAGTAGTTTTTTTTAAATATCAAATTTTTTAAAATAAATTTATGACTTATCCTAAGCTACCCAAGCTACCCAAGCTACCTAAGCTACCTAAGCTATCTAAGCTATCTAAGCTATCTAAGCTACCTAAGCTACCTAAGCTACCTAAGTTACCTAAGCTACCTAAGCTACCTAAGCTACCTAAGCTACCTAAGCTACCTAAGCTACCTAAGCTACCTAAGCTATATACGATACATACCTGTGTAGCTGCCTGTCCCGTTTGAAATATGATAACCAATAGGGCATAGTAGGCAAACCGGGCCACGGTTGAAGCGGATTGACAATTACCGGGAAAACAGGGCGTATTGTAGACAAACGGTACGACCGTATTCATTAGGCAACCCAACAGGTGCCAGGTTTTTCGTCGGCCATACCTAAAGATAAAACAGTCGGTCGTCTTATCCGATATAAAGCCGACAATAGGCGAGGCCACGGCATCGGCCAATTGACTATAGATATGATAATAAAATAAAATGACAATAAAATAATATAAAACAATAAATTCAAAAAATAATTATGTATTTGATATAATAATAATAATAATAATGAAAATTAAATTAAAATAAATAATTAACTTTATATTATATAGTTTATGAATTGTATTATTATTATTATAAAAAAATTTATTTTATTTTTTAAAAATATTTATAATAATTATTTTTTTTATAAATTTATTTTTAGTTATTTTTTTAATTAATATAAATATTTTTTTTAAATTTTTGTTGTTGATAAGTCATATAAAAATATTATAATTAATAGAAAAACTAATTTAAATTAATATTATAAAAATATTTATATCTATATTATATATTAGTCTGTTTTATATTTACAGTTTAAACAAACAATAACAAAAATTTTAAAAATTAAAAACTAAAATATTATTAATTATTTTGCTAAACTTAAAATCTAGTAATTTAATTAATTAATTAATTAAAATCCATTAATAATAATAATTTATTATATTTACAGTAATATACATACTTAACAAATTTAAATTAATAATAATTATAATAATATGTGTTTGTTCATTAAAAAACAACCATGATAATTTTTTAATTTGTTTATTAGTGTAAAACTAAATCAAACTATACAACTATTATTACATTATGATCTAGATAAATTAATAATTATTATTATTATGAAAAAAAATGTTTTAATTTAAATGCATACCCTATTAATAGTAAAGCACCGGCCAATGAATCGTTAAACTGGTACTTAAAATACAATAATGTATAGGAAAACCATATACTGCCAGTCAGATCATTGTAGACATGTCCGAGACTATAGAAAAATTTTGTTTTCAATGATAACTTTCCCGTCGGTGATGACCTAACATCACTAATAACATCAATGTCCAGTCTATTATCATCAGCTGCAGCACCGGTAGTATTGTTGTTGTTGACGTCCCTTAAATAGCTGATACTAGTCCTTGTATAATAGAAGCCATTGGTATCATAGTTAGTATACATTATTATTATGATTATTATATGATAAATAATTAAAGTTTTTATTTTTTAAAACTATATATATATATATATAATAATGTAATAATAATAATATTATTATATCACATATATATTATTATTATTATGCTAGATTATATACTACTGTATGTACAGTATACTGTATGTTTTTAAAAAATAAATTAATTTATTGTTTTTTTATATGCAAAATCATTATGCTAATTTTTATTAGCTTAACAAGTAAAAAAATTATAATAGTTAAAAATTTCAACAATTTTTTTTTAAATTTAATTATCATAAAATCCTCATAATATATATATATTTTTGATTTAATATTTGTAAATAATAACACGTGTAACATTGAAACTATATAATATATATACATTATATATATATATACTGTATAAATTATATATATATATATATACAAACAATTTTGTAATGTAATAAAATTATATACAAGCATAAATTTTGATATCTAATTTTATTATTATTTTTAAAAAAAAATAAACTTTAATATTTATTTGTTTACACAGTTTTTTTTAATTAAAACTTATTTAGTTATAAAGTTTTTTTTTATTTTATTTAGATGATAAATAATATAAGATAATTAAATTTAGTTTAGTCAAAGTTTTTTTTATAAAAATAAATTATATTAAAATAATTTAATAACACACACACACACACACACACACACACACACACACACACACACACACACACACACACACACACACACACACACACACACACACACACACACACACACACATAAACTAACTATTATTAAATTTTGAAAAATATTTATATAGTTATAATAAAGTATATCATATATACAGTATTAAAGCAAAAATTTTTATTTAAAATAAATTACAAAATTATATATTGATTTATTTATATTATAAATAAACACTATATTAAATTTGATAAAATGATAAATATTAATAATAATATTAATAAATACTAATACAATAAATACTAAATACAATAATAATTTATAATTAATATATTTATTTAGTGGTACAACAAAAAAAAATAATTTAATTAAAAAAATGATATGACATTATTATTATTATTATTATTACTATCATATCATATGTATTATTACTGTATTAAACCATCAAAAAAAAACTATATATATATATATTAAGGCAGTATAGTATTAATGTATGGCCTGTACATTATTGGTCCGACCACCCATTTTCGGTGCCCTGAGTCCGTATCTAGTTTTCAATATAGACAATAGACCGGCTAGTATTATCAATGATGAACAGCCGGTTATGAATATTAATATTAGTTTATAGTAGTCGACCGGTTCGCCCGGTACGAGGTTTTTCGGATTAAAATGCTCTAACAGTGCAATAACCAAACCGTTAATTGATTTATCAAAGAAGCTCATGGCTGCAAATACAAAGGCACCGGTAGCCTATAATAGTAATATAATAACATATAGAAAATATAATAACATTATAAATAATAACATTATAACAAACATTATATAATAAATAATTATCTTTTTTTTAAAAAAAAATATGTGTACGTATTTGTGTGTTAGTTTATATGGGTGTGTTTGTATGTATGTATATATGTGCTTGTGTGTGTGTGTGTGTGTGGTGTGTGTGTGTGTATATGTATGTATGTATGTATGTATGTATGTATGTATGTATGTATGTATGTATGTATGTATGTATATCTATGTGTGTGTATGTATGTGTGTATATGTATGTGTGTGTATATATATGTATTTGTATGTATGTATATGTGTGAAAAATATATTTACTATACCAATAACTGGTGCTAATTGTAATACAGTATTGAAATCGGGTGTATAATTAAATAGACAAGCCAGGCAAGTTTCAAAAATTATGCTAAAATTTAGGACCCAATTGCTATGTATAAGTGTAGCCACAAAAATAAAAACAAAATATTGTGTATTTGTTTATATTGGTGTGTGTGCATTTTTGTATATATATATATATATATATATATATATATATATATATATATATGTGTGTGTGTGTGTGTGTGTGTGTTTATGTATGTGTTTATGTATGTGTGTTTGTGTGTATGTATGTATGTGCTTATTTGTTTGTGTGTGTGTGTTTATATAGGTGTGTGTGCTTATATATATATATGTTTATATGTGTGTGTGTGTATGAGTGTTTGTATGTGTATATATATTTGTGTATGTATGTGTCTGTCCATAACATACCGTATTTGAGCCAATCAGGTCACTGGTCAGTGATAGACTGGCTATTAGCAGTGCAGTACCGCCGATACCTATGAATGCCGACACACCGTACACTTGCCATGACTTATAAGCGGCGGAATCGTTGCCGATCCACATCCAGACACAGGAGGCCACACCAAATGCTGTACCAATTAGGAGTACCCACTGATTGATTGATTGATTTATAGACACAAAAAATCATATTTACAATAAGTTATTAGTTATAAGTAATTATATTTTATGTGTACCCGTGTTCCCAGTCTAGCCGATAATGGTTTGGCAGCAAAACTGCATACCAGTCCCGCAACATATGTAGCAAACGGTATGATAGCTATAGTGTTCTGCAATACAAACAAAAAATAATTAGATAAAAAATTTTTTTAATAAAACATAAATAATTACTTATTTTTATTTTTAATAATATTAATTAATATTTACTATTTTGTATTAACAAATTATATATATATATATAGCATATATAATAATTTATAATTTTATTAAATATAATATAACAATTAATATAAACTGTAACTAATTATTATTAATAAAAATTATTAATAAATATTAACTAATTAAATAGTAAGTGATCAAATCGAGATATTATATATATATATAAATTTTTAATAATATTAATTAATATTTACTATTTTGTATTAACAAATTATAAATATATATACTATATATAATAATTTATAATTTTATTAATTATAATAAAACAATTAATATAGACTGTAATTAATTATTATATTAATAATAATTAGTAATAAATATATGAATTAATTAATTAATTAAATAGTTAGACATTAGGAATACATGAAATTAGTTTTGTTTAATTATTAATTAAAATAATTAATTAACTTAATAATTAATATTAACAACTTTATATACTGTATATATATTTTAATTTAATTAAAATTAATTTTAATAAAAAATATATTTAATTTAAACAAAACACACTAACCTTGGGCATTTGTAATGTATCTTGCAGATACAGGGGTATATAGACCTGGCTCAAATTGACAAACATACGGGCCATTGTATACATGGCTGTAATTTTCCAGAAATTCAAACTTTTCAGCCAATGTGTCCAACGTTTTTGGCCAGCCTTGGACTTGAGATACCTTTCCATATCCTGATCCATGGGCTCCGGTAGGGCACATATGGATGGCCGACCACTACTATCGGTATCGGGTTGATTCTGGGCCAACAGTGTCATCGTAGTGGTCGAACCGCGCGACTGTTGGACAATACGTTTGGTTTCGACGGTAAACACTGATGGCCGAACTTTTCGGGGTTTGGCGGCCAGATTGTCGGGTTCCCTGATAAACACGTGGAACAGTATGCTAAATATGATACCTATGCCGCATACTATGTACGAAACTTTCTGTRTATATATATATATATAATAAAAAAAACATTTTATTTAATTATTTTTAAATTTTTTTTTCGGGTACTTACGGTAATAACTTCCAGATCTTTTTGGCCAAATGTGTCGGTACTGCCGAAACCGATAACACCGAGCATAACACTGTACAGACATATATTGGCRCCGATAGTTGCCGCCTGTCTATTGATAGACAGTTTAWAAAACAATRTTTTTTTTATAAATATAATTATAAATTWATTTTTATAAATATAATTATAAATTATTTTTTAAATATAATTATAAATTAATTTTTTAAATATAATTATAAATTTTTTTTTAATCTAATTATAAATTTATTTTTTAAATATAATTATAAATTTATTTTTTTTTAAATATAATTATAAATTAATTTTTTAAAATCTAATTATAAATTATTTTTTAAATATAATTATAATTTAATTTTTTTTAAATATAATTATAAATTTATTTTTTTAAATATTATTAAAAAAAATTTTTTTAAATCTAATTATAAATTAATTTTTTAAATATATAAATATAAATTAACAACAATTATTAAATATAKAMAAAATTGTTGTTTTTTATTTRTTGTTGTTGTCTTCAAATAAGTTAATTAAACAAAAAAAATACAWTATATTGTTTGCTAKTAGTATTAATAGTTATCAAAAATATMTAAATATGATAATTATTTTTTWTAAATTTTATTTATTTAAACAAAAATWATTATCATTTTAAATATATATATATATATATATATATATATATATATTACAAAAAATACATTGTAATATTAATATTAATAGATATTAATATTAATTTATTTTTTTTGATAATCAAGTATATAATTTTTGATGAGAAAATTTTGTTTCACACATAATTTAATATTTTTTTTATTAATTAATCAATAAATTGTGCAATAAAACATAATAAATAAATAAACCTAGATTAACAGTGGATTAATTAATTAATTATAAATACAATAATTAATTATAAATACAATAATTAATTATAAATACAATAAATAATTAATTAATTAAATTAATATATATCTTATTGTTGTTCTTGTTATTATGAGATTTATTTATTTTTTAATTAATAATTTTTGTTTTAAATTATTAATAATTTAATTGATTGATTGGTTTTGTAAAATCCAAGTTTAAGGTTATTTGAAAAGTAAATATTAGATTACAATAATTATACCAAAAAAAACATTAATACCTGGATATTAATTATTAATACATTATTATTAGAGATATAATTTTTTTGTATAAAACAATGAGATATACACTACTATTACTACTACTACTACTASTAATTATAATTAATTATTAGAGATATRTATTWTTTATTTGTGTRTAACTTATATATTGTTTATTTACATTATTATTAGTATTAGTATTATAAAAGCCGACAATAGTTATCATTATTAAAAGTATCGCTACTATTACTACTACTACTACTACTACTACTACTTAATTAATTAACTACAACTACTGTATACTTAATGTTTATATTTATTTATAACAATATATTTATGTGAAATTATATGTAATTAAATAATATATTTACTAAATATTAATATTATTTTTTTTAAAAAATAGTTAATTTACCTGTATGCATTTAGGGCTATCCTCTCATTGGTGTCCTGGGTCAAATCGACAATCAAGCTAACATGGCTAACCTATTTATAAATTTAGATATTATATATAATATATAAATATATATATATAGTTTAATTAATTTAATATTAATTTTTAAAAAAATCTAAAATAAATACATAACTAAATATATTTATATAGATATATATTTGTTTTTAAAAATAATTAACAAAAAATAAATAAATTACATATAATAATTATAAAATCTATATATATTTATAAAATCTATATATATKTATAATCAATCTATCYAGCTAAATTTATCTAATGCATAATATATATAGTTAATTAATTTAATATTAATTATTAAAAAAATCTAAAAAATACATAACTAAATATATTTATATAGATATATATTTGTTTTTTAAAATAATTAACAAAAAATAAATAAATTACATATAATAATTATAAAATCTATATATATATATATATGTATAATCAATCTATCCAGCTAAATTTATCTAATGCATAATATATATATATATATATATAAATAGTTATCATAATTAATTTTTATGGCTCGCCCCCACCCCCTATACCTGAGTAGCTGCCCATCCGGCTTGAAATATGATAATCATAAAGGCATAGTAGGCAAACCGGGCCCACGTTGACGACGATTCACAATTACCGGGAAAACAGGGCGTATTGTAGACAATGGGAACGCTGACGGTATTCATGATGACACCCAACAGGTGCCACGTTTTCCKGCGGCCGTACCTAAAGATAAAACAGTCGGGCGTTTTGTCCGATTGAAAGCCGACAACAGGCGAGGCCACGGCATCGGCCACTTGACTATACATATATATATATATATATCGTCGGGGAGTCATTGAAAAACATAATAATTATTATTAAATAATTTAAATAAATATTTTTATGATATATAATTGTAATTAAAATAAAAATAATTTTCTTGATKGGTTTWATTAAATTAAATATATTAATAATAAATTTTTTATTTTCTAAGAAAATAATTTTTWATAAATAAGTTTTWTTWAGTGTTTTGTTTATTTATTATACAATTTATTTATAATTTATAATTTATATRTATATAAAAAAATAAATAATTTTTTTTGCTCCCTATTTATAATTATTAAATAGAAAAATAGTTATTTCTATAATAATATTAGTTTATTATTTATTTACAATTTAAACTAACAAACAAACAAAAAAAAATCTAAAAATATTTTATCTAGAAAAAATAATATATTATTTTTTAAATTAATTAATATGTAAACATAAAATCTAAGAAACTAAAAAAATAAAGATTAACTAAAATAATAAACCAATGTATAAAAKTATAGTCAGTTATAAAAAACTATTAAAACTATTAACATATTATTTTACAGCTTAAAAAAAATATTTTTTAATTATTAAAAACAAAAATTAATTTTTAATAATATATAAATATTTAAAAAATTAAAAATATTAAAAATATTAAAAATATTAAAAATATTAAAATATAAATAAATATTATTTTTTTTTAATTACCCAATTAATATTAAAGCACCGGCCATTGAATCGTTAAATTGAAATTTAAAATATAGTAAAGTATAGGAAAACCATATACTGACAGTCAGATCATTGTAGACATGTCCGAGACTATAGAAAAATTTTGTTTTCAATGATAACTTTCCCGGYTTGACCTGACTGTCCCGTTTACCGGCAGAAGCAGCACCGGTAGTATTATCATTATTGTTGTCCACGTCCTTCAAATAGCCGGTACTAGTCGTATAGTAGGTGCCATTGGGATCATCATTAGAGCCCATGTCTAATGCATTTTGATTTTCATCCATATTTTTATATTATTATAATTATTAATACACTTATTATTATTATTATTATTATAATTAACTTGTATTTGTAATAAATAGTTATTATTTTATTTAAAAAAATATTAAATAGTTATAATAATAATTTTAAATTATTCAATATTATTCAATTCAATTATTCAATATTATATATTATTCATAATATATTTGTTGATTTTAAAAAATATATATATTTAATAAAACTATTAAATTTAGTATTTATTTATGAAAATAAAATATATATATATTATTATTATTAACTATTAAAAAATATATAAATTAGTTGCATTAGATGTATAGTTAATATTTAATAAAAATAAATAAATAAATAGTTAATAATATTATTTATTTTATTTATGAGATCATATTGTGGGYATATATATATATATACTAAACAAAATATCAATACACATAAATAGTCATCAATTATAAAAAATATATATAAATATTTTTTTTAAAACAATTATTATTAAATAAAAAAAATATAGATAATTTTTTTCAACTAATTTATTTTATTTATATAGTTTTTAAGTATATATATATATTAAATGATTTTGTACATTGATACTAAATACAGTATGAGTTCATTATAAAAATAAATATAAAATCAATGATAATATTATAGATATAATCTCTCTCTCTCTCTCTCTCTCTCTCTCTCTCTCTCTCTCTCTCTCTCTCTCTCTCTCTCTCTCTCTCTCTGTWTTTAGATATTATTTTTATATTRTATTTCGTAATTTAATAACTATTTTTAAACACTATCCTAAACTATAACATTGCAATATATATTGTTTATATATATATATATATAAAATTTCCCAGTAATAACAAGTGTCTACATTATAATTAGTATTATTATTATTATTATTATTAAAACAATTTATAGTGTAATAATCAATAGATATATATATATAAATATTATAGATTAATTTTTTTGTTGCTAAAATTATTAGTTATCTTGTTTTACAACTCATTATATTATTATTGATTTTTTTTTGTTTTGTTATGCACTTTAAGCTATGGTCAATATCATCAACAATAATAATCACTTAAATTAAGTAAATTTTTTTTTATTTATTTATCTTAATCATAGTATTATAATTTATCAATTATTTACTTATTAAAATGGGTATTACCAAGTGTGTGTGTGTAAATTAATGATAAAATTTTCCAATATTTAGCCACAAAATAAATTAKTAGTTTAATTTTAAAATTTAATTTATATAAAAAAAATTATWWTTAGTTTTTTTAGCAAYTTTTATATTTAATTGGTTATTTTATTTTTTACTAAATTAATTTATAAATGTTTTTGATTTATTTATATTTTATTTGCTATTTATTATTATTATTTTATTTATTTATTTTAAAAAATATTTTTTAAAATTGTTTAATTTATTTATTAATTTAAACTATTGATGTTTATATTTRTTATTTATTAGTATTATTTGATTTATTTATTTTAAACAAYATTTTCTCACAATTATTTATTTTTTATATATATTAGTAATATATATAMTGTAATTATTGTTAATCATAATAATAATAATAATAATAATAATACATTTCAAGTGATTTGTGTCTTATGTTTTTTTAATGATAATAATAATAATAATAATAAAAAAATAGTAGCAATTAATAGATATTTAATAATAATAATAAWAAAATATTATGGGAACACATCCGTATAAATAAATTTATTTTAAATATAAAAAAACAATATATATATATATACAGTATATAAATATATATATATATATTATCATAACATGTATAAAATATAGTCAATATTTTTATCAATCAATTAATTAATAAACAGTTGTAATTAAGGATTTTAATTATCAGTAATTATTATTATTAGTAGTATTAGTATTTGTTTTGTAAAATTCAAGTTAAACTATAATCTCAAAAAATAAAAACATAATCCCCTAATAGTTTAAGTAATCAAATAATACATAAAAATGTATTAATAATAATAATATGTATTATTTATAATGAATTATTATTATTATTACATTTATATGTCCTTCCGTCCTTCCGTCCGTCCGCTTTTTATTGAATTTTTAAATTTTGATATCAGATTTGAATTAAGCATCAAAAATAAGGTATAGGGGATCAATTAAAATTTGATATATATATAGAGAAAATGGCGGCCAAAGTGAAAAATTTAGGTAAAAATTTTTGAGTATAGATTTGAATAAAGCATCAAAAACAAGCATAAAAAATATGGTTTAAAATTTTGATATCTCTTCGGGAACATGGCCGCAAAAGTACAAAAAAAAGAAATTAAATTTGAAAGTAAAAATTTGAATAGAGCATAAAAATAGGTAAAGAATATCAGTATTAAAATTTTGATATATAATCAGAGGTTTTAGAAAATCCATAAAATATAAGTAACAAAAAAAATATATTGAGATTATAAAAAAAGTTTAGAAAAGTCAAAAAATATATGAGTAATACAAACAGTATAAAATATTCAGAGATTATAGAAAAGAACAAAAATATATAAGTAATACATACAGCCAGTCATGAGGAGCAATTGACACGCCACAGATCATATTAGTGCTAAATATGTAAAGGTGAATTTGTGAATTTTTATTTAAAAAAAAATATTGTTGAGACATAACTTGACAGTGACATTGATTTAATAAAAAAATTTATTCCAAATAGTAACATTTAGTATATAATTATTTATTACCATAACAATATTTATTTATTAAAATAAAAAATTCAACTCTATGATTGGATTATGTTCAATTGCTCCTCATGACTGCATACAGCATTAAATATTCAGAGGTTATAGAAAAGAACAATAATATATGAGTAATACATACAGCACTAAATATTCAGAGGTTATAGAAAAGAACAATAATATATGAGTAATACATACAGCATTAAATATTCAGAGGTTATAGAAAAGAAAAAAAATATATGAGTAATACATACAGCATTAAATATTCAGAGGTTATAGAAAAGAAAAAAAATATATGAGTAATACATACAGCACTAAATATTCAGAGGTTATAGAAAAGAACAATAATATATGAGTAATACATACAGCATTAAATATTCAGAGGTTATAGAAAAGAACAATAATATATGAGTAATACATACAGCACTAAATATTCAGAGGTTATAGAAAAGAACAATAATATATGAGTAATACATACAGCATTAAATATTCAGAGGTTATAGAAAAGAAAAAAAATATATGAGTAATACATACAGCATTAAATATTCAGAGGTTATAGAAAAGAACAATAATATATGAGTAATACATACAGCACTAAATATTCAGAGGTTATAGAAAAGAACAATAATATATGAGTAATACATACAGCATTAAATATTCAGAGGTTATAGAAAAGAACAATAATATATGAGTAATACATACAGCACTAAATATTCAGAGGTTATAGAAAAGAACAATAATATATGAGTAATACATACAGCATTAAATATTCAGAGGTTATAGAAAAGAACAATAATATATGAGTAATACATACAGCACTAAATATTCAGAGGTTATAGAAAAGAACAATAATATATGAGTAATACATACAGCACTAAATATTCAGAGGTTATAGAAAAGAACAATAATATATGAGTAATACATACAGCACTAAATATTCAGAGGTTATAGAAAAGAACAATAATATATGAGTAATACATACAGCAATAAATATTCAGAAATTATGAAAAAGAACAAAAAAGATGGTCATAATTAAGAAAAAACAGTCATTATTAAAATTTTAAAATGAATCTTATTGGCTAATAAAATTTTAAAAATAGTATAAATAGAGTTGTAATTTTAAGAAAATTTCAGTTAATTTCATTTTAATGAAATGTGAACATTAGTGAACAGAAATTACAATAATGTAATATTAATAAAAAAATTATATTAATTTGTTTTGTGTAATAAAAAAAAATTTTAAAAGTGCAAAACTAAGATTTTATTTTAATAAGAATAAAATTTTAAATATTTAGTTAAATATAATAAGTTAAGTTATGTAATCACGAACTCCTGAAAGGAATATCTTTAAGAACGTATATAAAATGGCGGCCAAAGTACAAAAATTTTAAAATTAATATTTAATACTTAGATTGGAATTAAACATTAAAAATAAGTTATATGAAATTAGCAAACAAATTTTTATATCTTAAATAAAATAGATAAAATAAAGCTTGAGTTAATACTCTTTAAATTTAAGTTATATTTATAGTAAAAATAATAATATATTTTAGTTATTTGATACTCTCTATGAATTGTTTGAGTTTATTTTGTCCTACTGTCATTTGATACCCCACATTACTAAGGTTGAATTTATTTTTTGCATATTTAGTCATTTGATACTCTATATGAATTGTTGTTTATTTTTTTATACTGAATCATATGATACCCCACATGACTAAAGTTTAGATTATTCTGTCATAATGAGTTATTTGATACCCTACATGGCTATAGTAAAGTTTATTTTTTTATACTGAATCATTTGATACTCCACATAACTAAGGTTGTTTATTTTTTGCATACAGTCATTAGATAACCTATATGAATTGTTGAGTTTATTTTGTCATACTGAGTCATTTGATACCCCATATTACTAAAGTTGAGTTTATTCTGTGATACTGAGTGATTTGTTACTCCACAATGTGGAGTCCACATCCATGTCATACTTAATCATTCGATTTTAATTTAATTTTTAATTTGGATTAGGAGTTCGTATGGAAATGCTTTCTAGCATTCTCAACTGGTTTATAATGAATTATTATTATTATTATTATTATTATTATTACATTTAAAGGTAATTAAAAAAATTGCATCTTTCAAGTTTGAATTTACACAATAAGGATATAATTTTTATAAATAAAATACACAAATAATAATAATAATAATAATAATAATTTTGATATATATATATATATATATATATTACAACAATACAATGCAATTAGTGATTGCCAATTACTATAAACAAAATAAAAAATTAATAGATTTATAATTAAAAAAAAAAAAATTCAGATAAATATATCTATTGATATATATTATTATATATATATATTTATATTACTATTTACTATATAATGTCCTAAAATTTCAATATACATATATATATAAGATATGATAGTTATATAATAAATTTTTTWAAAAAAAATTATAACTAAAAATAGTAACACAGATATTATACTGTAGTTGTAAAATATTTCCTAGAAATTTATTATTATTATTATTATTGTTATTATTTTATATAATATTATATACAATAGATTTTAAATAAATTTTATTTACAATAAAATAAATCAATTAAAATAATATTACTATAAATTATTATTAATATAATTTTTTTTTTATTTTTAATTTTTTTATTTCAATAATTATTGGTAATCATTAAAAATTTTCTATTAGATAATATATAAAAACATTTTTTAAATAAATTGAATTATAAATATGATATATTAAAAAACCATATATTTTCTTATTAAACATAATTAAAATATTAGTTTTTATTTAAAATGTCATTGTCAATTTAACTTATTTTCAAAAAAAATAATCATTTTAACGTTTTTTTTTTAAATAATTATTGGTAATCATAAAAAAAATTTCTATTAGAAAATATTATATAAACATTTTGTAATAAACAATTATTATTTTAATTTAAAAAAATAAATATTTTAAATCTAAATTGTTTTTTTTTTAAATTTTTACAATAATATTAATAATACAGAAAATCTAAAATAATAATTTTTACGTAATTAAACTATATATAATTAATATTTTTTTAGGTTTCAAGTTTTTAAAGATAATTTTTTTTAAATATTAAAAATCATTATAAATATTAGTAAACGTAAAAATGCTTTATATTTATAAAGGCTTTTATAATAATATCATATTAAATATTTTATTTTATTTTATGACAAATAATAGACAAAAAAAATTACTAATATATATATATATATATATCTCTCTCTCTCTCTCTCTCTCTCTCTCTCTCTCTCTCTCTCTCTCTCTCTCTCTCTCTCTCTCTCTCTCTCTCTCTCTCTCTCTCTCTAATAATCGGTGGCCGAAAAAATATTTCGAGTAAAATAACCCGAGATATTAGACGGGCCACATATTTTTCTATGGGATTTTCTATAATAACACAGATAATATGTGTACGAAAACTGTCCACATATATAATTTTATCGTTTATTTATTTTTTTTAACTACTAAAAATATGCTAAAAGTATAACCAACATCTATGGAGAGAAACATAGTTTAAGGGTTCTCAAAATAGTGCATGCAATCATTGTATATAAAATCCTGGATATTGTCTCTCTCTCTCTCTCTCTCTCTCTCTCTCTCTCTCTCTTTCAATACATTTTCTATAATAGTTTATACTTTTAGTATAACACACCTAATAATAAAATATATAATTTTATTTTTTTTAAAAATTAAATAACTATATTTATTTAATTCAAACTAAATAAGTAAAAAATAGCCTAGATATAAATTATTTATATTGTTATCTTAAATGATTAATAAAACACTTATATTAACTAATTTTATACACACACACACACACAAATAATCAAGGTTATTTGTTACAAGTGTATTATAATTAAACATTAATATAAATGATTAATTTATTAACAAATTATATTACCATTATTATAATAACACACACACACACACACACATRMATWAWAWTTCAAGGTTWTRTTTAAAATATATATCTATATACATATAAATAATAACTAKAYTTWAAATTATTTATATAAATATTTTTTTTTGAAAWAATTAATTTTTTAAAAAAATTACTAATTTATTACAAAAAWWTTAAACCAATTTTTCAACTCTAATGGATATGGATTTYGGTGACATAGAGCTSGGRTTATTGAAAAACTCCAGTGGTTTCTGTAAATTAATAATAATAAATATTAAATTATTTTATTTTTATTTTTTTGAAAAAATATATAATATTTTGCATTTATACACATACATACATATATAACACATACACATATATAATACACACACATATAACAAACACACATATAACACACACATATAACACACACACATATAACACACACACATATATATATATATATACWCAYACACATATAACACACACATATATAACACACACATATATAATACACACATATATAATAACACACACATAACACACACACATATAWMAAACACACACACACACACACACACACACACACACACACACAGAYATATACATTTTAAAACACTTATCCCTTACCCCAGTATCGTGGAAACGGTAGCYGTGAATTGCGTTGGCCAGTGCCAGYTTRGCCTCCATTTGTGCCAAACGCATACCAATACAATTGCGCGGTCCGGCACCAAACGGTACGTACGCATAGGGATGATGGGCTATATTATCGGGCAGAAACCGTTCGGGACGGTACTCTAGGGGATCGACAAARTTGGCCGGATCACGGTGCATGGCATAGATAGGCATRTGTACTAATTGACCYTGTTTGATGGTCACACTACCATCTATACCWCCACCAACACTGGTATCTTTTATGGTTAACTTGTAGTCCGTATTGGCCTCACGTTCGAGAAACAGTGCGGCCGGATATAGCCGTAGGGTTTCCTGTATGACTGCGTCCAAGTATTTCAGTGAATGTAAGACATCGTAGTCGACCACACCATCAGTCTGTAGGTGTTTATCAAACATATRATTATTAGAAAAAAAATTAATTGATTTTTTTAAATTTTTTTTTTTGTTGATAAAACACTAACGTGTTGTTGAAAATATTGGTCGACTTCCGTCCGGAGCCGGTCCTGTACTTTGGGATGTTTGGCCAACAAATAGATAGTCAACGATAGGGTATTAGCTGTTGTCTCGTAGCCGGCAATGAAAAACAATACACATTGGGCTATGAATTCATCGTTTGTTAGATCTGTCAACAAAAAAAATAATTCATAATTAGTTAATAATATTAATAATATTATTATTATTATTAGTTAGTTATCTACTAATTAAAAAAATAAAATACATTTTTCAAAAGTTTCCGTTGAATTTGTTGAAAATTCCTGATATTTTTCTTTATTATTATTATTATTATTATTATTAYTAATCAWATCGTCAGCATCGCCGGCKCCGACATCACTACTACTACTACTAYTACTRCCACTGTTTGCCATTGAATCCAGCATTAGCTGCAAAAAGTCGACCCGTTTTTGACTACTATTGTCATCATTAGTATTACTATTACTACTACTATTTAACTGTCGTTTYCTATCGTCAATAATTTTTAGGGTCAGTTGACTGAAAAATTTCATAACATTTTGATCGAAAAACGACAGTCGCATCAGTTTTGCCAGTTTTGGGGCCAAAATTATKACAAAAAATTTCGGATGAATATTACGGCTCAACAGCGACCGGGCATTGACTATAATAGGGTTGTCCTCGTCGTACAGGGCGTCCACTCGGGTACCGAACGCTACCTGAATAACAGCTTCCATAGTATAGGCGCCGAACAGCCGTTTCATATCGCCGACGCCCGACTCGCCGACTGGGAAACTGTAGCCAAATTTTTTGAGCATATTTTGCAAACAATCATCAATTAAGGGCAACATTTGTTTGAGTTTTCCAGTGGTAAACGTAGGCGACATAACAGTGCGAACCCGTTTCCAGTTGTCGTCACGCAATGCTACCACCATATTGTCCATTATCGGGTCGGAACCGGTATTTATTTTCTTTAATTAATTTTTTTTTTAAATAAATAAACAAAAAATAATAATAATAATAAATGATTTTTATAATGTTTTGTTAAAAAATTAGATATTTAATTAATAAATTACTAATTATTATTTTTTTATAATTAAATATACAAATAAAATAATAATAAATGATTTGTATAATGTATTAAACTAAATTAGATAATTAAATAATAAATTAGTAATTATTTTTTATAATTAAATATACAAATAAACAATAATAATAATAAATAATTTGTATAATGTATTAAAACTAAAATAGATATTTAACTAATTAATAAATTATTTTTTTCATAATTAAATATAATAATAAATATAATAATTGATTTTTATAATGTA